CAAAAAAAAGTTCATTGGATTTGGCCAAGTGGGTGTTGAGATATCTTCAATCAAAACTTGAAAAGACCCGGATTTCCTGTGATGTATGAAATCTGATGATCACACTAATTTGAAAAGCACTGTAATATATTATTCTACCAGATCAATTCAAAAATTTTTTGGCTAAGTAAAAAGTCTATAAAATTTTATCAGTTTAGCTGATTCTGATCACTAATCAACAAAACGTAGAACACATACACATCAAACGAAAAATTAATATTTTGACACACTAGTATTAAAGTTAAATCATAGATACTAACTATATCTAAACATTACATCGTGATTTTAGCTTAATCAATAAATTAAATAGGCAGACATAGTTAATCTACGAATTAAAGTATGTTAAGCACATTTTTTTTGCCATAAAAATATATAAAAATGGCATGAATTCCCTCAATTCAACTTGTGTAAAAAAAATGTTGAAATTATTTATCATCTTATTTGCCCTTATTCATGTTATTACCTCAAGTTCGTTAAATTCCCTTGACAACAATAACGTCAATAATGTCTCACAAATCATCGATTTCAAGTCAGAATCTACAAAGACTCAATCATTGACTGATGTTGATCTTGACGATGATATCGCTCATGAAACTATCGACGAACTTGACGAACAAATTAATGGAATTACAAGATACAGATGGCGATGTGGTACATGTTGTAGAAGTGGAAGACATTTTCGTTGTTGGCGATGCGCTTCAGGAAGATACACCGGACAACAATTTGGACGCTATTGGTATTGTGTATATTGTTTTATGCAACCAAATATTAGGTATTATAATTGCGAGAGATGCATTCGAGGAAGGATGACAGCACCCATACGTCCTTTACGTAACTGTTAATGACTTACCACTTTTGACGACAATCCCTGGAAATAATAGTATATGGTGAAGTTCTCGATAGTTAATACCATATCCAACATATTTATAATTATTGCTCTTTTTTTATATTGATATTAGATTATTAAATAATTGCTATAGAACATTCCAGGATAATTAATTTTTATTTCTTTAATCTTTTTCTGGTTATATATAATTGAACAAACTCATCTAATGTAATTGCGAAGTATAAAGTGTTAACATTAAATTATTATGTAATAAATAATGACAAAAATAAGCGTGCTTCATGTAATTATTTGTTACTTATGGATTGTAAAAGTGTTTTCCTAAGAACTCGACTTTAAATAATTAGCACTGAGGCTCGATTTTGTAATAAATAATGACAAAAATAAGCGTGCTTCATGTAATTATTTGTTACTTATGGATTGTAAAAGTGTTTTCCTAAGAACTCGACTTTAAATAATTAGCACTGAGGCTCGATTTTGTAATAACATAATGACATTGTAAAACAAAGTCCTGATAACATAGTCCAGTCACAAGATTGTTAACCACGTGACTAGTTTCGTTTAATAACTGAAATGTTAACACAATTATTGGTTCTTAAAGATATAGTATATATTTTATTTCGATCATATTTATTAGCTAAATTACATGTATTAAATATATTATATCTTGTATATTTATCCGTTATAATAAATATAGTATAGCATAGTCACTGGTCGCAATAATTAACATGTATAAATATCCCTATTCCCCTGAATTCTCGCAATACAATCAAATAAAGTGTAAAATCATACTATTACGACTACTTGTATCAAAATCAAATCCATAAAACCTCTGTAAAACCTAACTGCAGTAAACCTATTTATTTATTTTAGCATATACAAGATGATTGTCATCAATTCGTATACAATATCCATTGCTAAGTAAATTCGTTGCATCAAACTTGTAAGAGGTAGTTTGGGGTATAACAACTTGAATGGCTATTTTTAAATAATTCAATTGATAAGTTTTTCTACCAGAAACGAAGCGTATGCTTAATAAGTAATAGTTATATCCTCTGCCATCTAAATGACCGTTTAAACCCTTCTTTCTTTAATAAAAAGAAAAAAATGGTTAGAAAATTTTTTTTTTAATAATGCATAATATAGTATTTATTTATTTGCATTATCACTATTATCGTTATTGATTTGATTTTTAAGGAATCCGGATTTAAACCTGCTTCAGAAATCGATCCAGCAACTCAAGCATTAAGTGACCTTAAGAAATTAACTTCTAATTTGGAAACGACTAGTAAATCTTCAATAAAACCAAATAAAAAAGTTGATGTATTTAATCATTAATATTCATTTATGTTATGCGATAAATTACATATTGATTTAATTTAATAATATTATAGCTCAGTAGATTTAAATACCAACGCCCATCAAATGATACATTAAGTCATTATAAGCAAATTGCAATTCCAAAAAATACTCAAAGAAGTAATCAGCTTTGGATTACACGATTTGAGGAATATGCTAATGATACACAACCTGATCTTAATATCAACTAAATTTATGATAAACGAATACTTGCTACTTTACTTTCAGAATTTGTTGTAGTAATAAAGAAATGTGATAAAAGTGAATTTAAAGCAGATTCATTATATAATGGCATATGTGCGATTAATAGATATTTTATTGAAAAGTTTAAAGAAATTGGTCCTTTTAATTTACATGGTGACTTTGAATTTGCTTCTTTTCGAGATATTCTTCATTCAAGGATGCAAGAATTGGAAGAAATTCATAATGGAGCATATCAAGGTGCTGACCCACTAAGTGATAATGAAATGGAACAAATATTTGGACATCATGAACTTGATAGAGATACACCAGTTGGACTATTTTGTAGAGTTTTTCTATGGATAGGTTGTTATGCTGCTAAATGAGGTGGATCTTATTTAGATATAATGGCATCTCACTTTGAAGAATGTCAAGATAAAGGATTTAATCTTTTAACAATTCATGATAAAACTCACAAGGGTGGTTATTATCATTGTAATTCTTCTGGAGCTGGACATAATACACCTTCACAAATTATACCTTCAGATGAATTAGGAGTTATTGGAGCATGCAATAATATCAAAAAATATTTAAGCTTATGGCCAGCAAATGCAGAATCAAATTTATTTTTACAAATTAATAAAGACTTAGAAGGTTAATTAAATTAAATTTATTATGTATGTACGTTGAGAAGGTGTGACTTATTTGTTTAAACACTAAAACTAACTAAATCAAACACTCCAACAACTAATCCTACAATCCCAAGACTCTAAAGACTTCGAATTGGCCAGCAGAAAGAGGCGTGGAAAGACTTGGTCCGAG